AGGATAATTTCAGGATTACATGTAAGGTTCGAAAATAAATTGAATGAAGTACAAATATTCCGGGTCAGCGTGCAAGTTATTGGCATTCATTTTGGACTTCTTCGTAAGATTCGAGTAGAAACCTAATAGTCAGCAAATGAAGCAGGTCTAGCAGCTGACTGTTGGCTCGTCTTGTACGGTTTGGGTTGAGATTGTTATGGATCCCCAATAGCTTACCAATAAATCAGGTCTGGCAGCTGATTGTTGGCCTGTCTTGTAGGGTTTGGGTTGGTTAAAACAGAAATCCAACAACCTGAACCTGGGGCTTTATTTCAAGATTTTTGTAAGATTCCAAAAGAAACTTCATTAAGTACAAATACACCAGGTCTGCAAGCTTCGTGTTGGCCTCTCTCGTAGGGTTTGGGCTTAAAGTCTGATAGAAATCTAGTAACCTTTCAATAAACCAAGTCTGCAAGCTTCGTGTTGGCATCTCTTGTAGGATGTTTGCTGAAAATCGAACAGAAACCCAATAACGTCCCAATAAACGAGGTCTGCATGCTAATCATAGTCTTCTCTTGGATGTAAAGCTCTGACAATGCCCCCCCTTTCCCGGGCTCGCCTGTGCCTGGTGTTGTGGGGCACACAGGCAGGGAAAGGGTTGTGACCAGCGCAGGGGCGTGGTTAGATTTCCATCTCCAAGAACTTTCAGACTTGACATATTGAGCAGAGAAACAACGTATGTCCAGTCGCCAAATTTTGTGGTTGAACAGTGCCTGTCCACCTACCTTCCCCCTCTGACTGCCATCTGAAATTTCACGGAACCTTCACCCCCCTAACCGTTTCAGCGTTGAGCTTGAAACCGATCCAGCCTTATAGGGAGGGGGGGGTGACGCCCTCCCCGTGATGGTGCGAGGGGAAGGATCGGAAAACAGCCACCCACAGATCAATTGTCTGAAACCAAAAAAAAAAGCTGACAGTCTTGGGACAAAAAAACGCCACACCGCAAGGGGGCAGGGGAAAGATGGAAAAAAACAAAAACTGAATTGGTTGACAGTCATGGTAGAAACACGATCACCAAAAACAACCTGCAAAAGTTTCGCTTAACAGTTGTTGTTGGCCACGGACGTTTTTCAGGCCGCCCCTGCCCCCTTGGAATGGTGGGAGCGCTTTCCTCCAAAATTGTCCGGATTATCATTGCTTGAGAACATTCAGGTAATTACCGTCCGTCACCCTGCCCCCACCCCCCCCCCCGAGGTGTCGATGGTTGTCGCCCTTGAACGATTGCCATGATGCCAACTTCCAATGGTATGGTGGCGGTATCAAACCCAGCCATTGCAACCATTTTGGTACCTGACTGACGCCTTGCTGCGTCGCGTAAGACCAGACAGCAAGTACGAGGTAGCTCGCAAAGTGACTTGCAGTAGCGAGGCGCGCTGGGGATTATGCAGGAATAGGAAATTCGAGATAAAACGGAGTAGCCGCGAACCGGGCCCTCTACCCACAAAAAGAAGTGGTTTGGTTCGCATTCAGTTGCAGGCTTCCATGTGCCGTGTGCCCGCAGGCGCATGTGGCGGCATCGGCCGTCGATCTGGGACCCCAGTTCTTACAGATCTTGCGGATTTCAGCGCATGAAAACTCAAGGTACGTTGCGTGCGCCCGGCGACCTGCATCGTGGCCCCATCAAACCGCAGCCAAGCGCGCTCCATGAGCTGTCGCTGTATACTTCCTTGTGTCGAGAGCTTGAAGTGTTGGGGAAATAATTACCGGGTACCACGCCCCGCTTTCACTGATAAAAACGCGCTATGTCACATCCAATGTACCCCACATGATATGGATGCGTGTGTTTAATTATTGGGGAGTACTATTGCCAATTTGTAAATGAAATTGGGGGGGTGACGTCAAGGTCACAAGGTAGCCGGGCTTGTTGTTTACGCATTGACTGAGGTGGGAGGGTGGGCCCTCCTTAGCATCTGGCTTGCCTGGCCGTTGAAACATAGCCAGCTTGCTGCACATTGCTTGTTCTTGCCCACTCTAACCTTGTCCCGCCCTGAACAATGCTCAGTTTGCAATTCGCGAGGGCGCATAACTCAACCGATCTGGCATGTGTGTTCGAAAGCCATACCCCAAGCCTGGGCATTGGCTTGTCTATGCAAGGATCACCTGAGATGCTCCCCCCCATCAAAAACGAAGGTTTGCAGAGTGTTGCATCAGATCACATGTGCATGTGAGAGCGTGGGTGAGGAGTCAGAAACAAGGTACCCCCACCCATTCCATGAGGGGAGTTTGACAGGGATCCGGAGGGGCTGAACCGAGGATTCGCGCATCACACTTGCAGCGCGCTTTGGTTCTAAGTCCTAGCAGGTTGCTCCGTGGCACAGAAAGTTGCATCCCGAACAGAACCCATCCCGCATCGTCCCTGCCCCTGATCTGGACGCCAGAGAAGAAACAACGGATTTGGGATGCCTGTGTAAACTTGAAGGCGCGAATCATAGCGTTGGATTTTGAAAGATGACGCATTTGCTTCTTCAGTGGGTATGAGCCATGGGGGAGTATGGGGATCAGCCGGCTTGACGTGACTTTGACTAAGGGTTGCTGCGTTGCGTTGCCGCCAGTCCGCTTGGGTCGCGCAGTGGTCAGCGTTACCCGCCGTAACGGCCGAGCGCGCCGGCGCCAGCTCGCTCTCCCAGCTCCCGCTCGCTGGGGAGCGCAGCGTTGAAAGGGAGCCGCCGCATAGAAACAAATCGATTCGTCGTGCAGGTTTGGTGCAACAGGCCAAAATTCACCAGAACAAAAATCAGGAGAACAATCGAAACCAACCCAAGAGGAATGTAGCCACCGGACAGGAGGAACTTCGACGACAACGCACAAGAAAGGCATTGCCGCACAAGACAAAAAAACTCGCGAATCCGCAAGAAAACGCGTGTTTTGACATCACGGCATGATGTTACGCCCTCAAGAAGCGACATTTAAGCAACATGCAAAAGACCATGTAACACCATGTAGTTGTAATGTCCACTTCATGGAGACCATTTTTTCTTGTCCTTCAGACATCACACGTTCCCTGTTGTTCCTTGGGTTTCTTGCTTTTGGTCCATCAAAACTTTACACCTGTTTCAAGAGCACCGAATGCAGCGCTGTCCTCTGTCCTTTGTGATCTGCCATGATGGTTTTTGAGTGATGCGATTAAATAGCGACCTTGACAATGTGCCAAAACGACACTACGGATGCCTACACGGCCGTGTTGCAAGCAGAAAGCCTTGCGCCCGTGCAGTGGCGAGAGGCGGCAAAGAGCCATTGCCCCTAGACAGGATAAGGCGGCACGGTCATGGCTGGCGGAAAACTCCGTGGTGCGAGGTGGCGGCCCACTGCGCATGGCATATTGCGCGCGTCGGCCAGCGCCAAACTATAGCAACAGCTGCGCAATTTGCATCTCCTCGAGATCCGGGAGCTGGTCCAGCAGAGACGAAGGGGGCACTCGGGAAGGACACGCGGCTGCCCGGGACGTCGATATGAAGGGCTGAGATTAAGAACAAGAAAAGCATCCCCATGAATGAACAAACAGTGTGTACACATATACGAGTATACATGTGTATCTATAGGTGTCTATATATATACACGTACATTCACTCAAAGCCGCGTGTTCGGTGACTCATGGGCATGAATGGTACCAACTGTCAGGCACCAAAACAAAATAGAAACCTTGTGGTTCCATTCAGACGATGGGAAGGACCACAGTACATCTAAAGCGGCAGGCGCAATTTCCAGAGCAGCCCTATACACATCAGTGTTCCAACACTTCCGTGTGCGTCCAGGTTTTCGTGGGCCGCTTAGCTCGTTCAAGTTGTTGGATCTTTCTTCAAAAACACAATTACGCATAAAATGTCCAGATGGCTGGTATGCCACCCTTCTCAACCGCATCAAATGCCTGTACAACAACGTCTGAGAAAATTGGTGCCATGAAGTTTTGGGGATTTTGTTATTGTGTTTGTCATGTCCTGTGCTTGCTAGGCGGCGCGAATTCACGTGGATGTCCGGCAGCCAAATACAACCCAATGGCATGCGGCATGCCCATTCCGAAGCACAGTGTCAAAAATGTCAACATGACAAACGATAGTCCTTGTGCATCATGGTAGTGGTTGTGTTGCATGAATGCTGACGTAGCTCCCGAACATTTGGCATTGGTGTTTACACATGCGCATGTTGGCCATTGCTTGTGCAAATGCACATCGTGGCTGAACAGACCGGTTGGCAATGGCGGAGGCGCAGGCGTTGTCTGCTTGCATAGGGATCAAAATCACAAATGGCCAGCAGGGAGTAGCAAACAAGGATTCGGTGATGCCATTTAGGTTGACACATGTTCCTTTGCACAAGCAGGAAGATGATTCTGCCGCAAGACAGCGCGAGACCCGGATACACACATATGCTGCACCATTCTTCACTGCATGGCGTAGCGATGTGCCACAGTCACTACGACATTCCCCCCGCATGCTCAGCCACGCAAGGTTGTGGTGGCTATGCCAGCTTCGTGAGGTGGGTCGGGCGATGTGTGCATGTTTGTCGAATTCGCAAAAGTCATCGTGGCAGCTGTCCTTGTTTGAGACATGACCATGACGATGCTTGCAGGTGGTTCAATAAATCCGTCATGGTGGATGTTTGCAGCTAGCCCTCCGTGATTACGGATTGGAATACGAGGGAGTGCCCCCCAATGGCGATCAATCGCAGCAACGAAGTTGTGTAGTTTGTCCAGTATACACGCAGCAAGCTGCAATGGATGGTGAAGCTGTTGCGCGTTTTTTGGCCGAGCACCTTCCACTCTTCAGCGGTTCCGAAGGGTCCATGCAAGCGACGCCCAGCCACGACACAGAATGGCATCGAGTGTATTTCGTGGGCGACGGGCAGGCCAAAGTCGTGGTCAGCATCCCGTCATGGTTTGGAACGGAGGTCCTGAGCAAAACCCTAGCGGAAGAAGCCTTGGCTGGACTTGGTCCGCGTCATTTAGCAACATTGAGATGCGAAGATCAGGTCCTTCTGGTCAATGAATTTTTCGAAGGCGGCACATTGAAACCCGCAGACTTGAACGCTGACGTCCTCGCAAAAGTTGGGTCTTTATATGCTCAGCTGCACCAGGTTGACATTGCATGGTTTGATCCGGTGCGCCAGAAGCTACTGGAAGAGCAGGTGCTGTCAAGCTCGGATTGCAACTGGGCTTTCTGTTTGTGGGTTCTTCCGCGCTTTTTGCGCATCTCAGCTGCAAGGGGTGGTGTTGTTTGGTAACCGAAGGCATCGGGTAAGCACGGGCTACTTGGTGTGCATGATGGTTGCGATTTCTACCGTTTTCCAGCTTCATTCCACATGCTGTCGATTGGTTTTGCAATGTTGCGACAATAGTTTTTGTGCACACCGGCAATTTGTTTACAAGTGTGAACCCTGAAGCCCAACATGTGGACGTGACGTGTCCTTTCCTCGTTGACAATGCTGGTGTAGTTACGAAAATTCTCCTAAATGAGCCGAAGCATTTGCGGTGACAGCCTTTAACTCGAAAATTTTGGGTGCGTAGGCCATGGATATGGCTGGGTATTTGGGAGGATTAGGTAGCTTGGAAATCACAATTGCTGCAGGCCTGGTTCCCGAGGCCAACAAACAGGAATTGCAAGCACAAGGCGGGCATGTCATTTATTCCTGCAGTTGTTGTCGGGGTTGGCATCGGCAACTGAACGCCCATAGTTTTCAGAGGAAGAAAAGTTTGATTGGCAAGAAGTACGCAAGTATTTGTTCATCAGCCACCGCGATTGCTAGAACCATGACCTTATAAGCAGCAACAAAAAGTCGAGCAAATAATATTCATGGTGTTGATATGACTTGGACATGGAAGGCCAGTACAACTCGGACACAAATAAAACGTGTGATTTTGATACGGGCTCAAGTAAAATTAATTACATGAGCCGATATGGCTCGCAATGCGCGGTGCGGGGTGCGGTGCGATACAGTTCTAATCCATTTCGAAGTAGGAGGCAAGAAGGCCAGGCAGGAGGTCCAGAGCGCAAAGCACATCCAAATCGTATCACAATCGTAAAAGGAAATGATATTCCCTTCCAGCATCTTCCAGTTTCGCCATGACGTCCACAGTCATGGCAATTGAAGGCTGCCGGATGGCATGGGTTGGGATTTGGCGCGCTCTTCCCTTGATAAAGATCTCACTTCGAAGAGGTTTCAGTCGTTACCAAAGTCAGGCGTGGATTGGGGCTACATTGAGGCGGAGATCAAAGGCTTGCCCACGTGTCCTGAACTTCCCGCTGGCGGTGTAACCACCCGCTGCGTGTCACAGTGGCAATATGGCTTTTGCTGGCATGGATTGAAGGACTTGAAGGTAAATGGAATCCATTGTTTTCTTGGTGCAGAACGTACAAGGCTGTTTCAAAGATGCATCGACAAGTAGGCCGGCAGTTTGTGCATGCAAGCTTGTTGGAGGTCTCGCACGCCATTTTTCTTCGGTTTGCCATTGCTTTCACATGACATGTCAAGTGGGGCCGGCCATACCCCAATACCAGCTTGAGCAGCGCGTTTGCCAAAATGTTTCCCCTTCATCATTGTTGGCAATGTTATCTCAAGTCTAAGGATCTGAAAAAACGGTTTGGCCAAATGTGGCTAGCAACACCAGCTGGTGTAGGTTCATGGTCAACATGCGCACAAACCACGGCGTAGAGGCTGGCAGGCCATGAGCAGACCGTAGCGCTGCGCCAAATATCATGTTTTTTTGCTTAGGCATTTGCCACTCGTGGAGAAACAAATGGCAAAAAGGGCGGAAAATCAAGAAGAAGCTGGGCTTAAAGAATGTGCATGAATCTATGAAGCCAGCCCAGTGAGAGCCAAGTAGGGGTGCGGACAGCGAGGCAAAGCGACAGATCAGGGAAGCATCGGCAGTTGTAGTGATGAACAGCGACGACAACCTGGAGCTGCATACGCTTACCGCCCGTTGGGCTTCAAGCTAAGGAGTTGCATGCCTGCCACGGGTAAGGGCACGGAATCAAAGTCTGGAGCAGTGATGGTGCCTGAGGTCTGTGTTCATGGCGATGCTCACTTGGGCAACATCATGTGGCATCAGGGCAATCTCCGCCTCATTGACTTCGACATGACTGGGGAGTTGTTCAAGGGATTGAATTTACGGCTTGGGGTTTGGGGTTCAGGGTACCTCATTGACATCACATGTATGTTGCCAGCCCTTCAGCAAAGACATGTACCATTACCAAGACTCTCCGACCACCCTCTAGGCCTATAAGTACTCACTCTTGAGGGTCCTGTAACCCCAACAAAGGGGGAACTGGGAGGCGCCCGGTACGAAACCCTAAACCCTCAACCCTGATCCCCCAACCTCAAAACTTGATCCCTGAACCCTAAACCGCCAGGACTGCACCCGGGCCAGCTGGTGCAGACCTCGCCTACATTGCGCTGATGTTGTTCCTGAGATGAGCCATACTCTAAACTCCATAAAGGGGATTATCTCATATTGGGAGTTTATAGGGCTTAGGGACGTTTAGGGTTTAGGGGGTTATATATACAGGGGGCTACATAAAGGGAGTAGCACAGGGGTTATCAAGGGGGATATGAGGAGTTTGGACTCTAGCTCAAATGTTGGAGTGACGTTTTCCTGTGAGAGTTCAAGAGCTGAGTACTTCGATGTTGACAAAATCGGCATATGTTGGCATGAATCAGGGTTCTGCGAGATGAGGAGTCTTGCCAAGGCAAATTGGGGTTGCATGTATGCATGTGATTTCACAAGAAACAAGCGCGTAAAAATTGAGTGATGGAGCAAGTCACCCAATTCAAGAACCGTCATGTAACGGGACAGCATTCATGATTGCAGGTTGGAAGTTTGATTGTTGCGGGGTGCAGGCTCCCGGTCCGGGCCTTCCCGAGCAGCAATTAGACCCAAATACGTATACCCCAAACCTGCGCACATTGCATGCTGTACAGATATCATACCTCAACTGCAGCCATGCAGGTTTCGCTGTGGTTTCAGTGTTGATGCCATCCTCGACATCGACTCGCAACGACAGTTTGCGTCCGCATATTTGAAAGAGTTCCTTTGTTTGGTTGAACTGCAAGTTTTGGACAGAGGATAGTGTTGTCCTGACTTCGCATCCTATGCAAATATGAACATTGCAGGAAGCACTCAGCCTTTTTTGGGTTGCGGATACCCTAAACCCTAAACCCTAAGCTCTAAACCCTAAGCCCAGATCAAGGTCAGGCTCGCCGTCAACTGATGGGGACGTTGACGCCTTTCTTTTGGACATGCACCGGTGGTCCTACGTAGGCTTGTTGCAGATGGGTCTGCTATGCGCTGTTCTGATGCACAATGAAGGGAACCCAGGCAAGCGCGAGCTCATGAAGCAAAGAGGGCCTGTATTGTTACATCCTAGGTTTTTAGCCAAGGCAAAAGAGGTGATGCAAATGGCTCCCTCAGACAAAAGCTTAGCAAAGCAGCTTTTGACGCAGGGCTTGTTCTTTACGACGGAGTCGGCTTGGCGTTCGTAGCTTCCCCACGCGTGGCAGCGCTTTTGAACATATTTTGTGCTGCTACTAGTAGCCCCTGATGTTGTTGTTGCTGCTGTAGCTGCTTCTGCGTTCTTTTGCTGACGCTAAACCCTAAATCCTCAGCTTGAAAGTTCTACCAGAAACCCTTTAACCCTCGACCCCGCCCCCAGTCCCAAACCTTTTGTTTGGCAAACGTCGTGAAACGAGCCTCAAGGCTTGAGACGTTGAATGCCCACAACGAAGCAGCAAAGTCGGAGTGAGAAAAAACGGCCACCAAGACTTCCCAAATACCCCCACCGAATAGATTATGTACCCATGAGTTTGGGGATAAGGGCCATTATCATATGTATTTGGGAGGCCCATGTACATGTTGCACCTTTCCCGGCGCCAGGGTAGAATCTCGCAACTTGAGCTGTGAATGAGGACCGGTGGGCAAACATGTCCTACATATATATATATATATATATGAGCTATAGTCTAAACTCCTTAAAGGGGGTTATATAAGGGATGATATAGGCAACTACTATATGGGTTACTAAGGGGATACTAGGAGTTCATATTATGGCTCATGTGATGTTGTCTTTTGCAGTTCTTCTGCAATGACACATGACTGCTTTTGCCTACACATTCAATAGTTACGTAGCCCTTGTAGCTCGAAATTGTGGGGCATCTGGAACTCCTGAGCAGATCTGCACTTTGAAATCTGCACGTTGTTGTGTGGGGGGAGTATAGGTGAGTGGAGGTAACATCCAAAGGGTTAGCCTTGTACGGTCCACTAGGTAGAGCCCCCGGAGCAACGCACGAGTTCGAGTCTTGACTTTGGAAGCTCAGCGAAGTAGGGAGAATGCGTGGACAACAAGCTATCATCGGGATACAAAGGTAACTGCAGGCAGCAGCTATAGCTTTGGCCGTTTATTGGAAGTCGAAGTTCCCCGATAAGCCGCCTTCTTCCTGTAAACTTCGGTTTCTTAATCTCATGATGTGTGTTTGTTGGCCTCTCATAATTTTCATTTCCTGGAAATGGCATCGCGGCACAAGTTCCAAGGGAAGGCAAAATTGTGGAACTAATAGCCCCATGGACCCTTGCACCTGCAACCCACACTCATTGCGATTTTTCTCTCAGCATTTCAGTTGATGTTAACTCTTACTTGTGGCCGCAATCTTCTTGGTTTTGGAACTAAGCTACAGCTGTCATAATTTCACCCGGGCATTTCAACAACTTCCTAAGTTCCACACCCTACCCGACTTACCCGACCCAAGGGCTCCTAGTGGTGCCCTTTGGTTTTGCTTCGGTTTTGGTGCCGGGGAGTATGTAACGACAACCCAAAACGGAACTACATCTGCTCAACGCCTGGCTACTTGGAGTTCTCTGGTAATTATCACCTACTTATAACCCTACTTATATATCAGCTAGAAACTGTGGGATCAGGGACCACCTAATCCCTTTGTTGCCATGCCTCCCCCCCGACTGCTCTGCTGATCACAGCGAGAAAGTCTGCATCTTTTGCTGTAAGCCGGCTTTTGCTTTGGAAGCTCTACATCGCAATCGCCCCTATACGCCCTGTCCTATTCATCCGGCAGCCCCCCATGGATTCATTGTGCTTGGGTATTTTGCTGGTAAGGCACGTAAATCCGTATATCACCCCAACAACACCTATAGATCCCTCCTAACCCAGTCCCTAATTTTTAAAACCTTAACCCCTAAAACCCTTAACAATTAAGGCTTGATCCGAAACTCAAGCCCGAAACCCTAGGCCCTGAACGGTTAAACCTAAACCCATAGTCAAACCCTCTTAACCCGAAACACTTAACCCATAAGCCCTAGGCCCTTAAGAGCCTAAACCCTTTAACCCCTAAACCCTCAACCCCAAAACCCTTAACCCCTAAACCTTCAACCCAAAACCCTTAACCCCTAAACCCCCTCTACCCCAAAGTTGCCAGTGGAGGCTGTTGGCCTGACTGGCCCGCCTCCTCCGGAAGTCCTCCGCAGCTTGGCTCCTCCAGATGAGGCAGCCTTTTAGTGGGTAAACCCTAAATCCTAAACCCTAAACCCTAAGACTTCAGGGGTGAACCTTACACCCAAGTAAGATTTTAGGGATCCCTAAGCCCTAAACCCCTAAAATCTAGGGTGTTAGGGGTCCCTACACCCTGAACCTGGGTTTGAGGGTCAGGGCTTAAGGCCTTTTAGCTCTTAGGGTTTTAGGGGTCCCTAAGCCCTAAACCCTCAACCTGGGTCTAGGGGTTAGGGTTTAAGGCCTTTTAGGTCCTAGGGTTCTAGGGGTCCCTAAGCCTTAAACCCTAAGGTTTTAGGGTTAGGGTTTAAGGTTTAGGGTTTAGGGAGGCGGCCCTTCCCTACTAACAGCCAGTAAAATCTAGCTTTTGGGTGTGTCAAGGCCTGGGTAGGGACATTTTCAAGTTATAACAGGCAATGTTAGGCTTCAAAACTATACCGTTATGGACACAAGTAGTGCTTCGTAAGATGCTTTCCTAGGTCAAGATTGCTAGTGTTTGGGTTTAGCTTTTGACTTTGGCTTGAGTGGTACAGGCGATGGGATAGCGGTCTAAGGGGATGGTGTGTTCCTCAGAGGAATTGTAAGGCTACTCGGGCCCCTGCGCTGCGCCAACGACCCACTACGGAACTACCTGGCTACCGGCCCTCATGGAAGAGCCCTGAAATTTGGAGATGCTGCAATCCAAATTAACATCTTGCGTAACCCCTAAAAGTCCTCTGATATGCGGAGGCACTGCTCCTTGCTTGTAACCTTGGTGAGATTAGCCGGTGGTCATTCTTGCAAGTCTCGTCTCTTGAAGAGCTCTACACCTGTACCCTGATAACTCCAGACACCTCAAAACCAAGTGATAAATAGCGGGTAGATAGGCCTGAATAGAGGATAACTAGAGTCTGGAAAGTAGCGCTTTGACATGGAAATTGTCACCCACATCTAGCTCTGGTGAAGACGCTTGTTCATGCAAGATAGGGCAAAGGCAGTCAACGGCGACTTCAGCGCTAGACCTCGTGAATACCTCAAATGGTCGCCTGTGCACCTTGTTTTGGGGTTTGGGATAGGTTACCTTTGAATTGGGCCTCCGCTGTCAGTGGTAGAATAGGAAGACTGAGTGGCCCTGATACAAATACTATTCTCCTCTGCGTTCACAAGTAGTGACTGCAATAACCACCTAGGGGACTGCAAAGAATCCATGATATCGGTGGAATTGGGGCATGATGGCTCGAAAACTTCCTGAGCGTTGAAGATAGCTTGGAGATATCTCAGGACTTCGGCGATCGAGATTTTATAATGGCTCAAGTGCAAGCAAACTGTCGGTTGAATTGTTTTTGAGGTAATAATAATGTAGACCCATGATTTGTAAACCTCCCTATTATAATTTCATTAAGGGGAGGAGGCTTATCAATCAGGGGTCTACGTTAGTTGTACTTAATTACCTTCTTGTTGTATCAGGGAACCTATTCTTAAATCAGTTTTTGATCCTGTAAAATTCCACCCAACCAATGCTCAGCCCCACCATCGCCACGCACGTACAATGACCTTGCAGGCTGAACCCGTGAAATCCCACCCGCTCTACCTCGGCCCGTGGAAGGTCTTTTCAACTTTTAAGGGGTTACAAAAATAGAGGGCCCAATCTTGAGCCCAAATATGTTATAGTCCTTATTATACGGCCCCCAAGACCCTGAACCCTAAACCTAATTTTTGGAAACCCATATTAACACCTCCGGAAGTCATCGGAAACTTCTCAAAAGTGCCTGACAGAAACCGAGGCTGAACAAAAATGTATCTCAAGGTTATACCCAACATTTAGGTTCAGGGCTTAGGGATTATAGGGTTTAGGGTAGGACATGTAGTGCTGTCACCAAATCCCAGGCCATTAGCCAATCATCCCAGAGCTTTACTTTAAGTCCTAGACAATGAGGAGGGTTTTGGGTAACCCCAACCCCCAAAACTAGGACCCTATAACCACCGTATGATAGTCATAGGTCCTACTTTTGGGGGTTGGGGCTACGAAAATCCCCTTTTTGCATCTGATTGCTAAACACTACATCCTAACTTTTGCGCAACCTCGGGGCACAGGACGATGAGGACGAAGATGGAAGCCGGGAGGGTTATGAGCAGACCCCAGAAAACACCAGGCGACAATGGCAGTGGAACCATAGTCAAAATTTCTTAAAGGGGGTTATATAGTGGATTATATAGGGGAGCGCTATAGGGGTCATTATTGGGGATACTAGGGGTTTAGACTAGACTATAGCTCAGTTGGTGTTTGGGAGCTCTGGCTTCACGGACTTGGGCTACCGTGGACGTTGGGGTGTATTGGTTTGGGGCCTGAGCTTTACCCAGACCCTCCTATGTAGTTCCTTTTTGGGTAGTGTATCATAACCCATAATCCCTTACCAGAAAAATCCCAGCAGACGCAAAAAGGAACTACGTAGGAGCCCTTGGGTAGAGTTGATGGATTCGGGGTTTGAAGGTTTAGGCTTCAGGGTTTCCAGATTGGTGTTGGGCGAGAAATAGTAGCCGGTTTCTTTATGAAGGGGATGCATAATTGTAAAGGGGTATCTTAGGAAACGCAGGGGAGGTCCTCGAAGTCATGGTTGCTTTGGGGCCTCCTCGTCACACATGTTTGGAAGAATATTGCGGCGTACTTAGCTTCTGCCAGAGTCACCGCCATGACACGTTGTAGGAGTGGAGTGTTCGCTGCTCTTTTCCTCTACCCCTCGTGAAGAGGGGCCAAAAAAGATTACTGTCTACTTACAAGCGGCCCTTACGCGCCCGTGTGGATTTTTTTTGTGTTTTGTCGAGGATATGTGGGGGGGTTCCCCACATGATATGCACCAAAGCATTAAAATGCTGCTTGTAGGGGTCCCCAAGAGGGACCACAAGTTCTTGGAAAATATCCTGAATCTTACATCCTAAGCCCCATACATCCCCGTATATGCCTGTATAACTCCCATAGCCATAGCCCTTCCTGGAACAGCTCATGTGATG